CCTACTATGAAACTAATTTATAGCTTTCATATGAAAGCTATAATCCAATTATAGCCCAAGAATATGGGGAAGGGGGAGAGACAGGGGAGAGGAAGGGGAGGATGGGTGGAGGGAGGGTGATTGGTGGCCTATTGTTCATCTTATAATGGTACGTGTGAATCTTTCTATACGTAGAATATAAATGTCTCAACACAATAGCTAAGAAAATAACATGAAGGCTACATTAACCAGTTTGATGAAAATATTTCAAATTGTATATAAAAACAGCACACTGTACCCCATGACAGTATTAATGTACATAGCTATGATTTAATAAAAAAATAAATAAAATGAATGATAGAGACATTTTAAAGGCATAACATGTAATTATCTAATACATATTAAAATAGCACCCAATAGTCTGTATATTAAAATTTCCTAAATTTCCCCCAATATATCTCTGGTTTCTTCAAGGAGAACAATTGTATTTGGTTACTGTATCTCTCAAGTCCATTTTAAATAATTTCCCTTTGCTTGGTTCTTTTCTCCTTCCACATACTTTTTATGGTAATGATTTATTGAAGTAATCATATTATTTGTTCCTTAGGATCACCCACTTTCTAAATTTAGAAAATTACTCTTAATTGATTTCAATTAATTTGTTTCTCTTCTTATTTATTTATTTATTGTTTGTTTGTTTGTTTTTTGAGACAGAGTCTCACTATGTTGCCCTCGGTAGAGTGCTGTGGTGTCACAGCTCACAACAACCTCAAACTCTTGGGCTTAAGTAATTGTCTTGCCTCAGTCTCCCAAGTAGCTGGGACTACAGGCACCCTCCACAATGCCTTGATATTTTTTGATTGTAGTTGTCATTGATGTTTGGTAGGCCAGGCTGGATTTGAACCCGCCAGCTCTGGTGTATGTGGCTGGTGCCCTAACCTTTTAAGCTACTGGTGCTGAGCCTCTTACTGTATTTTCTATAAACTAGTTCAACTTGGGAGCTTTTGGAGCTTCCTGGGTGATGCTAATACATGTGCTCCAACATATCATGAGGTAAACATTGTGCCTGGTTATCCCACTTGTAGTGATGCTAAGGTTGATCTGTGTCTTGGATGGTATTCCCTTCATTATAAAGTATCCTATTAGCATTCCACTTAGTGGTTTTGGCATCCGTTGGTAGTTCTTGCCTAAATCCATTATTTTACTAGAGGTGAAAAAATGGTGATTTTATGATTCTCTATTCTTACATTTGTTAGCTAGAATTCTTCTATACAGAAGAATTTTTCAAAATCTTTTTTTGTTGTTGTTGTTACTTTAAAAGAGTTCAAATAGGAAAGATAAGACAAATGTTTAATTCTTTCCCTCAAAAAATTCATATTCAGAAAATAAAATGATACCCTAGTTACCTTACTGGAAATAAATAAAATTTAATTTCATTATCAACTTATGAATTTTTTACATATTTGTGGGGTTCAATTGCTTGCAGCAATTATTCTTTTTGGATTTAATGTACGCCACTGGGAACCCCTGATACTCTGAAAATTGTGTCCTCAGTGTTGTCTAGGAAAACTCATCCACTTTATTCAACTTTCTATTGATATATTCTAGCTCTGATATTTTTCTCTCCCTTATACTTCAAATTCTAGTATTGAGGGTTAACGTATCTTTCCCAAGTTGTCCATGAAAGAGCTAATGCAAGCAGTTTTTCTGGTTAAAACTCCCTTTCATTATGGTAAGTTAACTTTCACAACCCATTCTACCAGGACTAGATGAGTATAATTCTATAACAAGTTTTGGTCCTTTACCATTCTTATGTTTATAAAATAAATGGTCAACTGGACTGTAAACTTGTACTAAATACAAGTTTGATAATAAATACTTAACAGGATACAATAGTAAGTCACAGGTGGTGTATACTGACCTCCACTACAGTTTTGCAGAGGGCGGAATATTTCATACATTCATTAGTTAAGCAGTTTATCTCTCCTATTATTTCTCCATTGAGTACATACTCTGTGTAAATTATTGAATAATCTTTCTCCTCTGACTCCGGTATTTCCTTAATCCCTAAACCTGGCTTTGATCGTTTAAGCTGTTCAGAAATGAAGAAGGAGAAAAATATACCAGTTAACTTGTGTTACCAAAACTATCTGATTTATGAGTCTTTGCACCATTCTTTAGACAACTTTAGTTTATACATAATACCCTAAGAATACTTATTGCTCATTCCTTTTCAAGAAATTTATTAAATTAGAAATGATTTAGACACAAAGAATTTTCACATACTTCCATCTTTCTGATTCCTTCTACTCAGCCAACCTACACCCATTCTAGAATGGCAAAATATCCAACTAAGATAAACATAAGGTGAGTAACAATTTAAATTTTTCAACTTAAAGGGTAATTCTTTTGGTGGTTTCTTGTTATTTATAAGAAAGTTTGGCTTAAAAGGTAATGTCTTGGACATGGAAATTGTCATTTAGTTGGTACTTGCAGTCACAAAAAAAGGAACTATACAGTTTTTAAAAGCTATCATTTTTCAGTTTTATAAAGTTTTTAAAAGCTAAGTTCATAAATGCATTTATTAATAACTCTGTCTTACCTTCACCATGCCTGAAATAATTATATAAATTCCTTTGGGCTCATCATCTTCTTTAAATATCTCATTTCCACAATCATATGTTATAACCCTGGCTCTTTCCTAAAAAATACCACCAAATATATAATACATAAGCTATAAATAATATTTTAATAGTGGTATGTAGCATTAAAGTTTACATTTTGAAAAGAGTTTTACATTTTTAAAGTAAATGTCATTCAATATGATCTGAGATATCATGTTAGTAATAAAATTGTAAGAGAAAATGGGAATTACAGACTGCAAAGAAAGAAAGATAGATATTCATATTCATGGATATATGTAATTTTAGGTAGAGTGTTTCTATGTGGATTAGAAGAGAAATAATCTAGGAATATGAATGTAATGAGAAGATGAAAATATTTCATCTGGATGAACAGTAATGACAACAGATGTAGGCTAATGGAATATAAATGTCTTATATAGCCGAATGCTCTAGTCTAAATAGTTGATGAAGTAAACAAAAAATTCATGTATTCAAAATATCTTAAGCAGGTGAAAGTGTAGTTATTCTTTTGGTAAAATAGATTCAGAAAAAGAATATTGCTAGAACAAGTTAGATTTAGATTTGTTTATTTGTTCATTCCATACTTACTGAGCACCTACTATGCATTGTACAAATTCTAAGGAATGGGTATCAAAAGATAGATGAGCTAAAAATTACAATAGGAAAGAAAGAGAGAGATGTATATATAATTGTAATAGGATATACCTAACACAATAATAAAGATGTCATATACTGGATGCAATGGTGGCAACATTGGTCCTCCAAACTCAGGATGGACCACAAGATTGTCTTCTGGTGGAGCATTTGATTGCAATGCCCACTTTTCTGAGTGCCTCTGGTGGAGATGTTTCCAGAGGAGGAATAAGCAGGAAAAGTTTGAAAACAAGATTAAAAGGAAGGGCATTTCAAGAAAAGTAAATACACACAGATGAAGGAATTTGAAAACAGCGTAAAGCATATGACACCATAAATAGTTCAGTACAAATACTGCATAGGGAGGATGTGGTAAATGGGAAACAGAAGATGAAGGTCGAGAGGTATGCAAAAGACAGACTGTGGAAGGATTTTTTATATCATTTACAAGGGTTTTGATTTTATCTTATAGGCAATAAGGAACATTTAGAAAATTTTAAACTAGATAGTATCACAGTTAAATCCTTATTTTTAAAATGATTATTGGTTGGTACGTTAAAGATGATATTACTAGGAAATAAAAATACTACCTGAATGAAATCCATATGGTCTGAATCTTTATCTAGCCATGGAATATGATATAGAGCTTCTTCAACAGTAAGAGGCTTGATAACAGGTTGAAAATCAAGCACTTGTCTTTTTCTGGCCATGATTAACTAAAACCACAAAAATTAAGAAAGAAGATGAACCAACCTGCTGTTTGAAGAACGTTCAAAACAACTATGTCTTTGTACTGTTCCCTATTCTTGCTCTCCTGAGATTTTTGTTCTACTATGAAAACCTCCAAGCCCTTTTCCCCCGCAGTGCAACAAAGGGGTCACACCCCACAGGTTGACAACCAC